GAGGTTGCTGTAAGCTATGACGCCCTAGCACTCTATTGAGGGCAACAAAAGAGACTCCATCTCAAAAAAAAAAATTGTTGTATTTAATCCTACAATAATCAGATGAAATATGTGATATTACTCTAATTTTACAATGAGGCTTTTTCTTTGCCCAAAATATCACTGCTTGCAAGTGGTAAAGCCATTAAAATCTTTCTCTGTGGTAGTCCTCTCCTTGTCAGAATGTCTTATTAGGGCAAAAAATCAGGTGCTAACTAATGGAACATTAATAACCAAATTGGGGGCTCGGCGCCTGTGTCTCAAGTGGCTAAGGCACCAGCCACGTACACCCAAGGTGGCGGGTTCGAATCCAGCCAGGGCCCGCCAAACAACAACGACGGCTGCAACCAAAAAATAGCCGGGCGTTGTGGCCAGCGCCTGTGGTCCCAGCTACTTGGGAGGCAGAGGCAGAAGACTCGCTTGAGCCCAGGAGTTGGAGGTTGCTGTGAGCTGTGATGCCATAGCACTCTATCCAGGGGGATAGTTTGAGGCTCTGTCTTAAAAAAATAAAAAAAATTAAAACTACCTTGCACACAAATCCAATTGAAGTTACACCCAAAATAATCCAATTGTGCTAAGAGCGGGTACACAAACCATATTCGCCCTAGTATACAAAGTAACAGAACTCAAGGTAGAAAAGAAAAAGCTCTTACTAGGCGAAAAACTTTCTAGAGAGGAAGAACTGGGGATGATCTGATGATCCAGAAATATTTAATGGGGCCTGACCCAAGTTTCTGCTTCCCCCTTCACCATAGGCAACACTCCGCAGCTGCAGATCTCCTTCCAAGGGAACCAGCTTTCTTTCTTCCCCACACCTGCCTGGGAACAGGTTCCTTTCCAGGACTCACGCCAGTAACCCCAAGAAAACAGTAATTTCACTGAATTCTGTGTGAACGGTAGGCGAAAGCCTGTCGGTAAGAAACTGGAGGATGAGATAAAAGTCCTTCCGGGACACCTTAAGTCTTTAGACAGACCGGCTTTTCTCCGTCCCTCCCCAAGCCCACACACCAGGGTCAGAAAGCACTGGAGCCAGGCATCTGGAGAGGTCGGAGGTCAGCCCCTGTTGGGGTCAAAAGTCAGCGCCTCTGCTGCCCGAAGGCTCCAGCAGCAGGAACTGGGAGACTGAGGGAAGTAGCTGGGGCCAGGTGGTCTGAGGGTACAGGCTGCTGGAGGAGCAAAGTAGCTTCTTGCTCCCCCGGGCCGCCCCCGGGCCCAGCCCTCCACTACTCACGCAGCCTCAAGTGCCGTCCTCCCTCCCTGCCGCCCCCCCCCACGTCACCCCGTCGTTCCCGCAGCACAGGCCCCGCCCCCAGAGCCGCCGCGGAGCCACGGCCTAGTATGGCTGGACCCTCGGGGGTTGGTCAAGTTAGAGGACCGGACCGAGCCGGCGCTGCTTACCGAGCCCTCGGCTCCTCCTCCACCGCCCGCTTAGCTCCCGGGCTCGCTCGCTCACTACGCCACCGCCGCTCCGGGCTCACGGGCACTCTCCGACCAACCCAACCCTTTCCCTGGTCCACGGTCCCCCCCGCCGGGGTCCTAAAGCCGGTCTCGTAACAAGTTAGTCCTTACCAGCTTCCTGAGACTGACTCAGACCACGATTCCCAGCAAGCATCGCAAAGACTACACCTCCCGAAAGACATCGCGAGAAAGAAATTATTGAAGGCAACCTCTATCGGGAGCCTGCAAGGATGCGTATCCAAAGCAGGATTTTGAAATATGGCTGACCCTTTGAACTCAGCAACTCTTTTAAGAATAAATGCATCCTCTGTAAATACTGCCAAAGTTTGGGAATACATATACTCCAAGATGTTTATTGCGACTTTGTAAGTGAAAGATTGGAAACTGGGCCGGGCCTGTGTGGCTCAGGGCGCCGGCCCCGTATGTCGAGGGTGGCGGGTTGGAACCAGGCCGTGGCCAAACTGGAACAACAACGACAAAAAAATAGCCGGGCGTTCTGGCGGGCGCCTGTAGTCCCAGCTACTCGGGAGGCGAAGGCAAGAGAATTGCCT